TAATTCAGTCAGTGGTCCATAGAGTTTACGTTTCACTGTTGTTCTTTCTGACTAAAAGGTTTGCCTCAGTGTGTCAGATTCGGTGCAGTCCCGAAGTACATGCACTGCTGTCTGGGGCACCTTTCCAAAGGTGCACACAACTGATACACCTATGTTGAATTTTGTGTACATGTGGTTACATAATCAGTTGTGCCCTGTTCTGAGGCGCAGGATAAAGACTTGTTCTGATCTGTCCAGAATAAAATAGTCGAGGGTAGCCATTTTGCGTTGTACACTATCTTGCTCTTTCTTGTCAAATATTCCTTTCACATTTGTCTGGATTTGTACTGTTTGCATTTTCTCTCCATGGGGTTTGTTCTGAAATACTTTTCAGTGGGCAACCAATTTCTGGAAGGTCACCAGTTTGTCTACATATTTTTTTTGCTTGACGTATAAAGCTGCTTCTTTTTAACGGTGACAAGGCTAGGTTCTGAAATATATTTTTCATGGGGTGATCTGGCATACTGAGGAACCCTTTCAATTTGTATTTGCAGTTTTGTATCTCTGCGTTCTCTCAGTGCCTGTGTTTTCCAAGCTTTCTTCATTTCTAATATGGGGGTTGATTTCATCCCTCCGGTGATGACTCTGTGTGCTTGATTTTGCACTTTGTATAACTCCTTTAATGTGGTACTAGATGCTGAACACCATGCAGTTGACCCATATTCCAAGTGTGGAAGTATGCTCTGCTTGTATACTTTATTGAGTATTTTCCCACTGGCTCCCCATGTGGTTCCACTTAGTTTTCTTAGTATGGCTGTCTTGCTCCTGGCTTTGGTTGCTGCATTGTTGGTATGTTTTCTCCATGTCAACCTGTCATCAAATGTGACTGCGAGGCACGTGGGCTCTTTATCATCTCTTAGAGGTATTCCGTTTTTTTTTTTTTTTATGATGCCCGCTTTTTGCTTTGGTGAGAGAGTGAAGAGTGTGGTGCTACATTAGGCTGTGTTAATGCTGACACACCATCTATTCGTCCATGCATATGTAGCCCGCTGAAGTTTTTGTGTGGCTATTGTTGCATGTTCATTGGAGCACCACAGTAACAGGTCGTCGGCATACTTTGCCATTTAGACTCCATTTTAGTATCTCAGCAAACAGGTCGTTGATGAATAAGAGGAAAAGTGTGGGCGACACGACACCACCTTGAGGGACACTGTGTAGCAGTAGAACTTTTTTACTTTTGAAACCATCTACCGGTACCCTGACTCTTCTGTTATGTAGATATGCTTTAATCCAGCTGTACATTCTTCCATTTACTTTATAGTTTCTCAATTTCTTTACAAGCCCCTCCTTCCAAACCTTATCAAAAGGTTTCATTGAATCTATCCAAGCAGTGAGTACAAGTTTCTTATCTTGAAAAGCATCCTCTGTTTCTTGGGAGAGGTATGTTGTCTGGTCTTCCGTAGAGTAGAACTTTCTAAAGCCCGCCTGCTGTGGTGTAATGATGTTTTCACTTTCAATGTAGCATTGTAGTCTGAGGTTGGTGATGCGCTCCATTGTTTTTCAGAGACAGCTTGTGAGGCTGATCGGTCTATAGTTGGAGGCATTGGAACTGTCTTTCCCAGGCTTTATGAGGGGTATCATAACTGCCTCTCTCCAGATCTTTGGAACATTTCCTGTTGCCCAGCAAGCATTACATACCTGTAAAAGCGATGTTTTGGCTTTTGTTTTTAAGTTTTTGATGATTTATACTATGTGCTCCTGGTGACTTCCACATTTTCAGCTTTTAAATGGCCAACTCCACTTCATTAAGTGTAACTGGCACCCCTGATGTTATTTCTTTCTGACTTCTGAATTGTGTCTTTTCTTGAATTTCTCCTTTTTTTTTTTTTTCTCTGTTAGGGACAGAAGACATAAGATTATATAGTCATAACCCGGGAAGGCTAACCCAGTCAACAAATGCCCGCTGAAGACGGATGTGTTGGCTGAAAGGTGCAAATATCGCAGCCATGCTGTAAACGGACATAACGCAGTTACATCTTCAGATGAATGCAAAAGAAGAATATAGAAATAACTTCGTCAGGTAGTAACTGGTTCTGTTTGACCCTCTGTCCAGATACGTGGCTAGTACACAGTTCCAGCCAATATTTGCCAGGAAAGTGTTTCCATGCTTTGATGAGCCGGCAATGAAGGCGACATTTAAGCTGACCATCCTCAGACCGAAAGACTATGTCTCAGTGTCCAACATGCCCATTGAACGGACACTAGATGAAGAAATGTAAGTCTAATAGTTTGCTAGTTCTGCTGTTAATGTGACTAACAGTGACTCACACACACACTACCATGTGAATAACAGTGACTCACACACACACTACCATATGACTTACAGTGACACACACACACATACACTACCATGTGACTAACAGTGACTCACACACACACTACCATGTGACTAACAGTGACTCACACACACACACACACACACACACACACACACACTACAATGTGAATAACAGTGACACCTAAACACGAACATGTGGCTAACAGGAACTCACACACACACACACTACCATGTGACTAACAGTGACTCACACACACACACACACTACCATGTGACTAACAGTGACTCACACACACACTACCATGTGACTAACAGTGACTCACACACACACACACTACTATGTGAATAACAGTGACATCTAAACACGAACATGTGACTAACAGTGACACACACTACCATGTGACTAACAGTGACTCACACACACACACTACCATGTCACTAACAGTGACTCACACACACACACACACACACACACACACACACACACACACTACAATGTGAACAACAGTGACACCTAAACACGAACATATGGCTAACAGGATCTTACACACACACACTACCATGTGAATAACAGTGACTCACACACACACTACCATGTGACTAACAGTGACTCACACACACATACACACACTACCATGTGACTAACAGTGACTCACACACACACCCTACCATGTGACTAACAGTGACTCACACACAAACCCTACCATGTGACTAACAGTGACTCACACACACACACTACCATGTGACTAACAGTGACTCACACACACACACACCCTACCATGTGACTAACAGTGACTCACACACACACCTTACCATGTGACTAACAGTGACTCACACACACACACTACCATGTGACTAACAGTGACTCACACACACACACACCCTACCATGTGACTAACAGTGACTCACACACACACCCTACCATGTGACTAACAGTGACTCACACACACACTACCATGTGACTAACAGTGACACACACACACTACTATGTGAATAACAGTGACACCTAAACACGAACATGTTGCAGACAGTGGCACTTAGAGAAGAACATGTGACTAACAGTGACACTTAGACATTGCAATGTGACTAACAGTGACTCTAAGACATGACAATATGACTAATTAAACAGGGGCATCGACGCAAAGAAGTAAATGAGAGAGTGAACTCAACCCCTTAGGCATTTCTAGGCACAGGGCTCACAAGTTAGACCTCACTTAAGTGCACACAAATAATAACTGGAGGTGTGAGGATCAGCCTTTCTTTGAATTTAGGAAGCAGTAGGTGAGACGTGCTGGACGAGCGGAAAATGAATGAAACCAAAAGCTGCCATGGTTAAGTGCGCAAATGTACTTAGGGATGTGGTTGTGAGGTTCTCCTGATACTTGAGTAGGGATAGTATTCGTCTCAACAAAATTCAAATGAAGTCCGTTCGAAAGCTAAGGAGAGGGTGATTTGAACAATGAAACATTTCTCTATCGAAGTAAGGGTGGCAACAGTCTAGAACTCCAACTACAACAGTGCAACATCATCACAGTGTTTCAGTGCACGATCTGCGCGCGACGGGGGAGGTAAGGCAGACTCAGTACGTCATATAGTTCAACGTTAGTCTCCCCAAACAAAGTAGGTCACATTCTATAGAAAAATGTGTAGAGTTGGACTACAGGTTACGGGTGTGCTGCTCTATTGCTTACTTTCTGGATTGTCTTGTATTTACGTTTTTATTCCTAGAAAGAGAATGCCGATGACATAGGTTTACTTAACCTCTAAAGGGGTTTGTGTTAGACCCAGTTTGTCCCTGTTTTTGGAGTGTTAAAAGCGCTGGCATGCTGAAATATACAACACACGATATCAACGTCATTGCGGAACACCCCCATAACCTTGTGCAAATGTCACGGGGCTCAAGATCGATGAATCAGAAGTGAGCTCGGCTAAAGGACGACCAATCAGAAGTGAGCTAGTGTGTAAAAGTGTGTAAATGGGGAGAGCAACGTCGAACTAACCAGTGCGTCAAAGCTTAGATGCTTCAGCTTTCCTGCAAAAGACACACACACACACACATACATATTACCATAAGACTATGATTGAATGTGGACTGTAGCAAGAAACCAACAAAGTGGAAACTCAAAGGTTATTGGGAAAACAAGCTGTTAAAAAAAAAAAAAAAAACAAGATTAAAGAAAGTTTGTCCCCTGCAGAAAGTAGACAGCTTTGTCGGATTTGTGAAGTTGCGAGCAACAAATTTGTTTTTGAAATACTTTTACAATAATGTTTTCATTGTGCTAATTATGGACCTTTTTGTTCATAATAACTAGATTTAATTGCCCGACTTGGCCCGAGATAGAGTAAAGCAAAAACATATTCATTCTGATTAGTTGTACTCACTCTTCTGCACTCTACCTTGAATCTCTTTGTCGAGTTGACTATCTTCTATAAACGTATTTGCTAGGTTATCATAAGCTAATGCTGATACAAATATGATGAATACTCCTACTCGCAGTCAGGAAGACGGAGTCACCTACGTGAAAGATGTTTTCAAGGAAACACCCAGATTGTCACCCCACTCTCTTGCCTTCGTCATCTGTGACTTCGATTTTCAACAAAACAAAACCAAGAGTGGCATAGTTGTAAGTATTCTCGAAAAAGTCTCGCATTGTCTGTATAAAATATTATTACTAATAACTGCATGCCGTTTGTTGAAGTAATAAGACGCTCACGACTGTTTCTTTATAACCACTGGAACACTCTTTCTATTAGTAGTTCAGCCGTGTGCATAGCGCTGTCAGTGTCGCGAGTGTCTTTCATGGACAGTGTCGTTAGAGTTGAGTTGAGTTGATTGAGTCAATAATTGACATCACAGCACTCGGGACATTCCCAAGCCTGCTCCGTCCTTATCTTCAGCAGCCAGCGCAGAGATCCAATACGGAGGGTACCGGTCACAATCTGGTTAACAGTCCAACTTGCCTTTCCTCTGAGTGTAGTGAGCTAGCCAGAGCCTCTGGTTACACTATGGTGCCTAATTCGGATTATATCAGTTTGAGAGTCATATAGCACAACGTTCAAATACATCAGCTGGATCTTCCACAAAACACGTGTTTCATGTATGTGACTTGCATTCCAAAAAAAGACCAGACTTTTGCGGTTAAAAGTGTCTCAGAGCTCTGAAGAATGAGTGTGCTTGATCGTTTCCAAGTTTCGTCACAAGTTTTGCTGGCCGAACTGGTGTGGCTTCGGTTTGGATTACGGTAAATCACGTCAGTACTGTAAAATCTGTTTTGTTACCTAACTACATTTGTACAAGTGATGAAAATACAAAGAAAACTTCTGAATTGATACAGCTGGGCCGTCTAAAAAATATTTATGTATAAAACAGTCATTATGATGATGATTATGATGGTGATGATGATGATGATAAAAACAGTTGCATGCAAATTAAAAAATATTAAAAAATAAAACCATTTTCGGGATGAGTAAGTAGCCAGTAATCAACGAACAATCAAAGGCACATTTTTTTTAACGCGGCACAGCAGTTCTGGGGGAGAGTTTCCCAGCTATATAGGATAAACCATTGATGACGGCGACGCTAATCAATAGAGGCTATAGTTCTGGGGGAGAGTTTCTCAGCTATATAGGATAAACCATTGATGACGGCGACGCTAATCCATAGAGGCTATAGTTCTGGGGGAGAGTTTCCCAGCTATATAGGATAAACCATTGATGACGGCGACGCTAATCCATAGAGGCTATAGTTCTGGGGGAGAGTTTCCCAGGTATATAGGATAAACCATTGATGACGGCGACGCTAATCCATAGAGGCTATAGTTCTGGGGGAGAGTTTCCCAGCTATATAGGATAAACCATTGATGACGGCGACGCTAATCCATAGAGGCTATAGTTCTGGGGGAGAGTTTCCCAGGTATATAGGATAAACCATTGATGACGGCGACGCTAATCCATAGAGGCTATAGTTCTGGGGGAGAGTTTCCCAGGTATATAGGATAAACCATTGATGACGGCGACGCTAATCCGTAGAGGCTATAGTTCTGGGGGAGAGTTTCCCAGCTATATAGGATAAACCATTGATGACGGCGACGCTAATCCGTAGAGGCTATAGTTCTGGGGAGAGAAAGTTATCCATATGGGGTTAATTAATAATGAGCGGCAGACTTTCTAATAGAGCTTTTCAACTAAGTTCACTCAGGGGTCAACGTTTTGAAAATTAGGAAGATCTCACGTCAGAAACCCAAGCTCCAGCATAGAAAGATCACTAACACAATACAACTAGCCATGATTCGCGGGCCACTTGCTAGATCCCTGCGGGCCGCCAGTTGAATAGCACTACCATAGATGGTAGAGTTTCGGGGGGGGGGGGGGAGAAAGTCCTAATGAGCGCCAAGCTTTCGTCTGATCTAGCAGTTCTAGTGAGAGAGACACAACCTGAGGACATAACCCAAGTGCGATGAACTCTTTTTTGCTCGACTGTAAACGCTACACTTTATATCCCTACCAGGTGAAGACTTGGTCAAAGAACAAGACCCTGGTGAACACCAGATATACCCTAGATCTCAGCTTAAACCTAAACGAATACTTCGGGCACCTGATTGGCCCGAAATTCCCAATTGTGAAAGAAGGTGAGAATATTTTCTCTTAGTCTCTACACTCAGGGTTATCAATTATACGAGCCGTTCATCGTGAGTAAAGTTCCAGTAAAGTGAAAGTTCACGTACACGCGCAGGGCATATAGAGCTAGATTCGTATTTGTATAGACTAATAGCTTACCAACCTAACCATCCAAAATCGCGTTAATAATGACACTTTCAGACAAACTGTGGAAACGACACATTGTACTAGTTTCATCGAGAAACATCAGATCAAGTGGTTTGGCCATCTCCTTATAATGCAGCAAGATCAAATACCATCACAAGCACTACATCTCAGAAGATAAGCTACAAGAGCACGAGCATGGCCGTGGAAAAAACATGTACCGACAACATTAAAGACACTCTACGCCTTCACGGCATGACAATAGCGAGTGACAGCCAATGTGGATCGCAAATTATTCCTCCCCACGTCGCTTAACAGCAGAAATGTTTGATGATGATGATGACTTGATGAGGACTTGAACACCAACCGTCTGGATCCACAAGCGCGCAAGGCTGAAATCATGACTGCTTAGCAGCACTTATGTACCCCTTACATGACGTCGTGAAACCAGCCCCTAAAATGTGTTTGTTGTGTGTGTTGCTATTAGGCAGTATTACCTTGGTTGCTTACTCAACAACGGTCTACTTTTGTTCTATTGTTAACATCAACGCAAAAAGGACTTCTGGCAAATCGCCCATAGCTTGACTCGAACCGAGTATTCGAAACCCGGCTGTTTTAAATCAAGTGTGTACGCAACGGGTAGATCAGTCGCTGGTTCTGAGGTTTGAAGACTGAACAACAGGTAATAACCCATAAGTTCTCTCTTCTTCTTCTAACTCAAGTCTGCGTCCGAAAAAGCTCAGCACATTGCACATGCTCTGTACCAACGGCGAGGATCCTGAAATGCTTTGGCTAGATTTTTAACTCCATATTTTTGCCCGGACAGCGCCGTTAGACAACTATTTTCGATTTCCTAAAACAAATAGGATATTTTAATGTGCTCAACGATACACACGGGTGTCTAATCTCACTACCCAGAGACCTGGGGAAATTACTAGAAGTCAATAGAAGTCCAGGACCACGTGAAAAAAATTCCAGTTGTTACGTGGGATTGAACCCTGAATCTGTATCACTCGAAGCGGACACCATGCCTCGAGACCACACAGGCGCTGGTAATGACAGGCTAAATAGTAAGTAAAGTAAAGATCCCTTTTCATGCTTTTGGCGCATCAGGGATATGGGAAGATCGTCCTATATATTTACAGACCAATCAGCACTGGATGGGTAATGTGGTCAGCATTACGCCAGCCGTCTTTGCCTCCCCATGACAGCCATCCTGGTACCCATTTTAGGCTGGGTCGACCTGCGACGCCCCATACCATGATAAAAATCCACGCAGCCAGCACTGGGTTTCGATCGCAGTACGCTGGATTACGAGTCGGACTCCCAATTAGAGTGAAAAAAAATAAACACAGCGTAAAACAGAACACAGGCTGACTGTGAAGATGCGGATAATTCAACCAGCGTTTTAACCGGTTTTTATCCGCGGAGAAAAGAATGGATTAATTCAACGCAGTAGTAATAGTATAATAGTAGTAATAATATAATAGTAGTAATATTATAATAGTAGTTATAGTATAATAGTAGTAATAGTATAATAATAGTAATAGTATAAAAGTAGTTATAGTATAATAGCAGTAATAGTATAATAGTAGTAACAGTATAATAGCAGTAATAGTATAATAGTAGTAATAGTATAACAGTAGTAACAGTATAATAGCAGTAATAGTGTAATAGTAGTAATAGTATAACAGTAGTAACAGTATAATAGCAGTAATAGTATAATAGTAGTAATAGTATGATAGTAGAAACTGTATAATAGTAGCAATAGTATAATAGTAGTAATAGTATAACAGTAGTTAATAGTGTAATAGTAGTAACAGAATAATAGTAGATGTTGTTGATTATGCAATAGTATATGTATTATCGTGTGGTACAAAACGTACATTTCGAGATAACACTAAAATACCCTGGATGGATTACATTACATTGTTTAAGGAACACACTTTTATTTCCCTTTTATATTGTTTAGTTAATATAAAGCCTCAGTATAAGCTAATAACATTCTGGCTCTAATGATTTATATTATCATTTGTCTTTATTTCAGACCATGTTGCATTGCCCAATTATGCAGCACTGTCAAATGTGGGCCTTAACTTATACAAGTACGTCGTGGTTGTTAGTGAAACTAGCGTTCAAATGTTGGAAGTCATGGTTTTTGAGTTTGGGAAGAGATATGCTTGGGAAGAGACATGCTTGGGAAGAGACATGCTTGGGAAGAGACATGCTTGGGAAGAGACATGCTTGCGAAGGGACATGCTTGGGAAGAGACATGCTTGGGAAGGGACATGCTTGGGAAGGGACATGCTCGGGAAGGGACATGCTTGGGAAGAAACATGCTTGGGAAGCGACATGCTTGGGAAGAGAAATGCTTGGGAAGAGACATGCTTGGGAAGAGACATGCTTGGGAAGGGACATGCTTGGGAAGAAACATGCTTGGGAAGCGACATGCTTGGGAAGAGAAATGCTTGGGAAGAGACATGCTTGGGAAGAGACATGCTTGGGAAGGGACATGCTTGGGAAGAAACATGCTTGGGAAGCGACATGCTTGGGAAGAGAAATGCTTGGGAAGAGACATGCTTGGGAAGAGACATGCTTGGGAAGGGACATGCTTGGGAAGGGACATGCTTGCGAAGGGACATGCTTGCGAAGGGACATGCTTGGGAAGAGACATGCTTGGGAAGAGACATGCTTAGGAAGGGACATGCTTGGGAAGGGACATGCTTGGGAAGAAACATGCTTGGGAAGAGACATGCTTGCGAAGGGACATGCTTGGGAAGAAACATGCTTGGAAAGAGATATGCTTGGGAAGAGACATGCTTGCGAAGGGACATGCTTGGGAAGCGACATGCTTGGGAAGGGACATGCTTGGGAAGGGACATGCTTGAGAACAGACATACTTGGAAAGAGACATGCTTGGGAAGATAGAGACATGCTTGGGAAGAGAGAAACATGCTTGGCAGGAGACATGCTTGGAAAGAGACATGCTTGGGAAGAGACATGCTTGGGAAGCGACATGCTTGGGAAGAGACATGCTTGGAAAGAGACATGCTTGGGACGAAACATGCTTGGGAAGAGACATGCTCGGGAAGAGATCATAGTACTCACGGTTTATCCGGACACACAATGAAAATGATCTTGAAATGAGCCATCTAAGATTTTCAAAACTGACAGTGTTATGTGTGGCTATGAGATTAATGCGCTTCCACAGCGCACAGATGGAAGGCATGACGGATCAAGTAGAGACTCCAGGTTTCCCGAGAAACTCGCGGAGCGGGCGTTAAGCAACCGAGCAGTCAAATGCCTTATGTGGACGTTTTGATAGGAGTTGCTGTAGAGACCGGAGACAGAACAAGTTGTATTCTGTCCGCTAGAGTTTTGTAGTTATCTTGGTTTACAGACGTAGTGACGGATAGGGTATTGATAGATAGTTTAGTCTGTGATTTTGTGTTAGCTTGACGGTATTCTAACTGAAGTTCTACTGGGCAGGCACTTTAACTGAGTATGCTGTGTCGTGGTCGTCCCGTGTGATTAATCATATTTGCTAAACTACGGTTAGTCTGATTACTTACCTGTTTTCTAACCAGGTGGTTTCAAGTGGGCATCTAGGCGGGGTCCGTTTCACACATCTCAAAGTTTAAGTTGTGTTAAACTAGCCTGAATGTGATTCAAGTGTGACTTTCTAGAAAGTTTCAAAACACTGTAACTAGTCCAGCAAACCGACGTAGATAACTTAGTGAAAATGAAGATATAAAGGGGATATTGGAAGAAGACAAGTTGTACTGAAGCAATATTCACACTTCGACAATTAGTGAAAAGGATGGTAGAATTCGATGAAGAATTACACGTCGCATTCGTAGACAAAGAGAAAACTTTTGATCGAGTTAATAAGACTACATTATAGAAGGCACTACTGTATCACGAGTAAACGAACACCTTATTAGTGCAAGAGTTTATACATCAATAGTCTATTCGAAGTTTGAACAAATACAGGAAGCTCAGAGGCGTTCTTCATTAGGTTCCATTTCCTAAACCTGGCAAGGATGATTCAACACTCATCGGCTTCAGGATCATAATCCAACAGAACAGTTTTGGCAAAGTGCTGGAGGAGAAGATAGTGGCGGGTGAGTTACAATAAAACTTCACAACGAGGAGAGTATATAGATCTGAAAGAAGTGACGTGAGCAACGTTTAAAAATATGCGATCTGGAATAAATGAAATAAAATAAAATAAACGATGGTTTAAAATTATAGTCACAAAAAGAATAAACACTAGTATTGTTAGTATAAAATAAAGAAATACAAATGTTAATGATACATAAATGATACTGATAAAAAAAATAGAATAAAGTAAAAACTTGAAATTAAAAAGAAAAGAAAAGAAATAACATTTAAAATGTGATAAGAGTAGAACTATTTAGATAAAGGTATGTTGGATATTGATACCACCTGGACTAAGAACGCCTAAGCTGTGGATGAGGCGATTTTCCAAAGCGAGGCACGTAGTATGATCGCCAGAGCAAGATTTTAATGCTGTGACAGATATATCATCTTTACCTCTGTGGTCATAGCTATTAAAATGGAGAGGGAATGGTTTAAGTGTCTTCTTGTCTTTTTTGATAGTTTCCGGGAACACCTCTCCGAAATTGACAAAAAGACACTTCAATCAATCCCTCTCCATTTAACGTTGGTTAAATCTTGTATTAGTCGTTTCTATCTTTTAATTATTGTTTCTTTATTTTTTATTTTTTTTTTTTCATTGCTATGTGAATATTTCAGTTCTGGTGTCTATCGTTCGTTTCGTTTCTGTATTTGTATTTTTTGTTGTTTACATTTTTTCGTTTTTATTAAACGTTTTTTTATTTTCCACTACTGTTTCTATCTTTCATTGTCATTTGGTAGCTTTCTTTATTATTTCAACCTTTCCCTAATTCTCCAATATTTCGTTCCTGTTTCTACATGTCACTAAAACAAAAATAAATACATTGCTATTTATCACAGTGAAGCGTTAATGCAGTTCACAGAAGATACATACACGGAAGAAAATAGGCAAGCTCTAACCAGAGCCGTTTCCTTTAGAATGGCCCATGAGGTAAGTCTTATTGTCTCCCTTGCTAGCTACAAAATTACAATAACATTAAAAAACCATTCAGTATGTATTTATGCGATTGCACCTCCCCCCTCTTTCAGTCTGACATTTATATTCGATATCAAGATAAGTATTTATATATCCTAGGTCAAGGTGGGGTAACAAAGACCGCTTGGCACTCGTTTTGCTCACTTTATTGCGCAGGCGAACTGAGCAAACAAAAATCCATCTGTAACCCCCAGAGTAAGCCTCCCTAATCCACGAACGAAGCATCAATACCAACCCATCATGTAACCCCAACCATAACCCACAGATGTAACCTCAACCATAACCTAAACATGTAACCCCAACCATAACCCATTATGTAACCCCAACCATAACCCATCATATAATCCCAACAATAACCCACATATGTAACCTCAACAATAACCCACATATGTAACCTCAACAATAACCCACACATATAACCTCAACCATAACCCATATCTGTAACCACAACAATATTCTATATATGTAAGCTCAACAATAACCCACACATGTAAGCTCAACAATAACCTACACATGTAACCACAACAATAACCCACACATGTAACCACAACAATAACCCATACATGTAACCACAACAATAACCCACACATGTAACCACAACAATAACCCACACATGTAACCTAAACAATAACCCACAGATGTAACCTCAACAATAAAACCACACATATAACCACAACAATAACCCACAAATGTAACCACAACAATAACCCACACATGTAACTACAACAATAACCCACACATTTAACCTAAACAATTACCCACACATGTAACCTCAACAAAAAACCCACACGTGTAACCATAACAATAACCCACACATGTAATCTAAACAATAACCCACACATGTAACCTCAGCAATAACCCACACATGTATCCACAACAATAACCCACACATGTAACCACAACAAAATCCCACACATGTAACCACAACAATAACCCACACATGAAATGTAAAAAAAATAACCCACATAAGATCTAAAAAAATCACTCACCCATGAAACCTCAATAATAAGCCATAAATAAATTATCCACTTCTTTAGAAGTCGGAGTGCTTCTGCCTGAGAGGCAAGGAACCAGCAGTTTGCAAACTAAGTCAGACTAACACGGATATGCACGTAACTCTCGGGTTCTGCTATTGACCACAGGCAATTAGAAGAGGGAGACGTTCATGAAGCAGTTCAGTTCACTGACAGACCACAGTGATGACGATAACAGAGATACAGTTAGGGATCTGTCAGCCACCATAAAGCATAAACATTCTAAAGACCTTATTCAGGAGAAAGATGTAAAACGTGCTGAAAAGGGTAAAAGCCTGTGACACGCGGGTCTGACGGGGTTATATATCCCAACATTAGGTACATGAGCGATGCAGACCTGGTGGAGATGACTGCTTGTGTCAACCAGAACACTATGACAGCTTCAGTCGCACAAGAGTGGGTTCACAGCTACGTGGTTCCACAGCTACGTGGTTCCACTTCCTAAACCTGACAAGGATGATTCAACACTCATCGGCTTCAGGATCATGATCCTACAGAACAGTTTTGGCAAAGTGCTGGAGGAGAAGATAGTGGCTGGAGAGTTACAATAATTGTTTTTGAACAGATAACGCTCCTTCAAGGAGGCATGGGAAGTTACCGGCGAGGGAAGGATACATGGTCACATGCAGCCACTTTTGCCTTTGACGCCTTCGAAGGTATCCAGAACAGGCAGGAAACGGTGGTAGCGACACAAGATGTATACACATGTCGTAATTGTAACCGACTCTCTGAAAGCCTGCTGAGAAAGGTGAACACTTATAATTTAAGTGTTAGTTAGGCAGTTCAACGACAGTGCTATAGAGAGATAGTCCAGTCAGTTTAGTTATCGTTGATTTTACTCAGGTTATTGGAACTGTCTCATCAAGGTGGTCCGCGAAAAGGGTTTGTCAGTAAAGAAGAAGACAGGGATAAGTTAATGGACATGGTTCCCATGCGACTCGGCGCTGTGACATGGCCGTGCAGTAGCGTAGCAGACAGAGTGTAAGGTGTGTAGGAAAGACTTTGGATTGAAGGCTGTTGGTTCGAACCTATTTAATTGCTTGAAGCAACAGGAAAGCCACTCCATGAGTGGCGTTGTAAAGTACTCCGGCCGTTTAGGGTAGGGTTTGTGAACCACGTCTGGGGTGAACAGCCAATGGCGTGTTGTCAATTATATTAAAAGCTGATGTAAATGCTCTGATGGTGTTGCTTTATTTGTGACTCATCTGTCAACAAGATATTTACCTTTAGGGCAATAAGCAGATCTCTGACAATTGCTCAGCGGGGAGGGATGTGTGGCACCTTTCCACCTTTCCAGATTATAGTGTTTTATTGGAAAGTAGCCAGACAAGGATATCGGAGATGAAGTTCCTCCTCTCTATTGCAAAAAGACTGGGGAGTATTGTAGAAAACAGGTTCTGTTCACGCAGCAGAAGTTCTTTCCTGGCTTGCTGTGAAAACTACAAAGGAGTAGAACCGAATCAGAAAAATGTATTGTTTTGGACTGACTCATAAACGCGTGATGAGTTCCTTGATAGCGACAAAGAAAATATTGGCTGCTTCTGATCTGTCCTAGTGGTTTAATGACATAGTGACCCCAGCATGGTGGAGTGACCTCTGGCTGGCCGAAGGACTGTCACGTTTTTATGAGCACGCGGGCGTGCATTATCTTCATCCAGACTGGAAAACGGTAGGTAATTAAGTTTTCAACACTATCACGAGGAATGAATATGCTTTGTGTAGGGGCATTGAAATGTGGGTTTAGCCGCCAGTCCTCTCTACCCCCCCCCCACCCCCCCCCCCAACCCCATCCTATCCCTAAAGTGAAGATCAACAGAAAAATCTAACTGGGCTGTGATGTGGGAAGGGAGACGGGCTAAACTCCTAAATATGTAAGAGGGCAAGGCTGCTTCAGCCCAAACGCTACCTCTTTGATCCCAACCACCCTCCACAATCAGGTATAGCATTTTTCAATTTAGG